TTGTTCTTAACAGGATGACTAGGGATAGAAAATGATTTTCAAATGATTTATTGAGTCAACAATGAAAACCATAATGCCAAGCAGACAGACTAGACAACATATACTGTAGTTAGATTAATGTTGGAGGGGAAAATGTGTTGTCAAAGGAGCCAAAAAAATCTTCCTTAAAAATGTGTGTGTGTGTTTCAGTACATGCAGGAGTTTGAAGAGTTGCTCCTTCCAGTCACTGACCCCCGTCACAAGTTGGTAGAGCGGGTGGTGCAGCATCTGGCACAAAGGAACAAGGACATCCCTGAAGTGTCTGATGTCACCTGGAGCGTCCACTTGGTGCAAAGTCCAAATGTCAACGCCTTTGTCCTTCCAGTAAGTAAATAGAGATTTTTAAGTAGTATTATATTATCATACCTTCATACCATTGCATCCTGAATCTCATATTTGAGGATGTCTTTTATTCCTTGTGACAGAGCAAGAACATTATAGTTTTCACATCACCTTTTGCTTGATTTTGCCTCTTATCCACATCAAAAAAAGACTTGACAGTGAAGTAGAAGGGTGCACAGAAAGTGCGAACCTCTGCCAAGGCTAACACCCTATCTTGCCATGTTAATGAAACTGAATAAAAACTCTTGCATCTACCAGTGTACTCGCATCCAATCCAAAATTGAATGTGTTTACCTGACACACCCCTCTACAAAATTTAGTGGAATTACGTTTTGTAACTTTTGCTGAATCCTGCTATCTAACAAGCAAACACTAATTAAAACATAACCTTCTTGGTGGAGGTGTATGTAGTAAAATAATCCATTTTTCATATTTACCATACATTTTTTCTGATTACTTAGTATGTGGGGGATTGTTAGTACTGGGATATATCACTTCTAGTACATGTTCAGGTAACTTATTTAAAGGGTTATGGTTATTGACTACTATTTTTGTACACCTGTAAAGTCTATATTCCAACATCACATGGCTCAAATTTGGATTTTATTTTCCTTCTATGTAGAACGGGAAGGTGTTTATGTTTACAGGGATGCTGGACAGTGTGGTGGATGTTCACCAGCTCACCATTGTCCTGGGACACGAGATGGCTCATGCATTACTGGGACACTCTGTAAGTGTGTTATCCTCTTCAGACTTTGTTTGTGATTGTAGCTTTGTTTCTACGTGTACTGTAGGATTTGACCTGATATTGGCAGTCTCTCACTTCTCTGTGACCTTTCAGCACTTTGAGCAAATCAACTCACAGTTTTTTTTGTCCTGGTCTTGTCAACACGTGCTGGAAAATGTCCAAAACACCATATCAGCATGAACATTGAAGAAGGAAGCCATCAACTTGCCAAAGATGACATTTCAGTCAGAATATCATGATTATGCTGAACACAGCTAATTAAAAAGCAGTGATTTCCAATGTTCAGTTCTCCCTGAAAAAATGTGACTGACAGTAGAATTCATGAGTTCATTGATTTACTCTTCTATTTAACTTCACATGAATCCAACAGAAGAAGCAAATAAACTGGTTTAAACAGCAGCGTTTTCTCTGGAAAGAAACCAGAGAAATAGTTTCTGTTTCCCTTATTTCATTTGTGCTCAGTGTGAACGTCTATACTTGACGTCAAGCCCAAACACCGTTGAGGACCAACGCACCAATGTAATTTGGCAATGGCGGATGCTAACAGCAGCTAGCTGTGGCTCAGACAACTGGAATAAATCTGTAGCTCTGACACAGCCTGCCACGTTTCTACAACACACTGAAAATGCACTTTGCTACCATGTTACCATGGTCTGCTGTTTAACAGGTGACCGCTCCATCCCTGATAGTATGCACATTTGAGGTGCTTCTTTGATAGCAGACCTTGCTTCTGCTGCATAAGGATGACTCATTGAAAACCCTTGCAAATAATTTCAAGAACAAAGTGAAGTCATGTAGAAGCCCTTGGCACACAGAGAAGTTACAGCTGGAAGACGGCCAGGTCTCTCCCATATAAGGTCATAAAATATGTATGCAGACCTCCTATAGTTATACGCATTATACACTGAGAGACCTGACTATTCATCATCAGCCCCCCACTCTGTCTCAAATGTATAATATCGGCTGAGGTGGCATCACTTGCATTGCTGTTGCATCAGCCGGTGATAAAGACTCACTGACATTCACCTCCAGACACTCACTAATCCTGCGTGTGCTATGGTGACCGGAGACCTGTCGACCTAGGCCACTGTCATGCTTTATTAATTTTCCTCCGATGGCTGTTTTTATTCCAGCAATAAAAGCCCATTTTCTTGTTCTAAAAAAGTGTCTAATGAAGTGGGTATTTCGAAACTTTAAACGTCCTCGGAGGAAATGCTTGAAGGAGATTTTAATTAGATGAAAGGAATGAGCATTGATGTGCTTGGTATTACCCAGTAGGTGTGCGCTATCGGATTGGCTGTTAAAACCTCTAAGTCTGTTGCAGAGTTAAGTTCCACTAAAATAGATGGGAACGATCAATATGTTCCAGCTGCCTTCACATCCCACTAACTTTCCCCCTCTATTTCTCTCTCCCTATTCCTATTATCTTTTAATCTGTGTAACAAACCTTTATTTTCCTCTTTCCTTCTTTCCTTTTCTCCTCTGTCACCTTCTCATCTCACGTCCCTTCACTCTTCTCCCCAGGCAGAACAGGCCAGTCTGTCTCATGTTGTGGACCTCCTGTCTCTTATTCTGCTGACAGCCATATGGGCTGTTTGTCCTCGAGACAGCCTGGCACTGCTGGGACAGTGGGTGCAAGACAAGCTTACACAGGTTTGACACATTACACCTTGTATTTCCTGCCACTTAATTGAAAAAAAACATTTTCACTTTACACACATGCATACATTTTTACTGACAAGGCAACAACACAATTCTATTCTGTTGTTTTAAAGACTATTTGTCTGAACTTAAAGCAAACAGTTTCAATGAGGAACTTGTTTGACTGTTAAGGTTTGTGCAAACCTAATGCAAACCTCATGTGTCTCTCCCCTCAGCTGATGTTCAATCGTCCCTACAGTCGCAAGCTAGAGGCCGAGGCCGACAAAGTGGGATTACAGTTGGCTGCTAAGGTATTATCATCATCAGCATCATCTCCAGTGTGACGGTTTAGTTAAGTTTAACTTTAGTTTACCTGTCACAAGGTTTTACTCAGCCTATGAAATCTATAATATATATATAATCTCTTCTGTGGCTTTGGAGGAGCTTACATTCTTTATTTAACAGGGACAGTGGACAAAACATTGACTGTACAAGATAAACTGAGAGACAATACTAGTTTTTCAATGTCTGTTTTCTAAATAATCCTGACATCATCATGGTCCCTGAGTTTGGGATTTTCTTAAAATTCTTAACATGAAGCTTACACATGGAAAAAGCTGAAACAAATCCTGCTTTTCTTTCTTGTGTTGGAATCTACCTTTAAACCTGTTCTTGACTATGAAATTGTGTTGTATATCATTTCCTCAGCCCAGTGTCTTCAAAACCTTTCTCGGCAAAATTCCATTTAAACTGGAACAATGGAACAGAAAGCGTGGAATAATTTACAGACTTCAAAACCTTATAACGTTTAGCGAGTTCATTGCTCCGTCAAAATCTCTTAAAAGTGTTTCATATGATCAAGTTTTAATGATATTAATATATGTGTTTGTCTGCTAATTACTTTTACTCTTGAAACTGTATTGCTGCTATTCCTGGCCAGGTCTCCCTTGTAACAGATATATATATTTAATCTCAGTGGGACAAAACCTGTTTAGATAAACACTAATAAACAGAAGATTACAAACTGGAAGTAAGAAATGAAAGTGGCTATTGGCTTGCATCTGAGAAAGGTAGGATATAGTGTAACATTTATGGATCTTGACCCATACAAGGGATTGAAACTGTATTATCTCATTATAGTAACAAAATTTGAGAGCACTCACAATCACTGGTGGTTTTTAGAGGTCATGCTCAATAACTCTGTAATAACTTTGAAAACCTTTTTTGTCTTTGTAGGTTAATCAGTATTTTATCATAGAATCACACAGTTACTGTCAAGTCCTGTAGCAGCTTTTTAGAGCACTAGGGGGCACTGTTGTCAAACGAAACTAAACTTAATGTGCTCGTTCACTGAGGATTTTTATCTCAGTACAGGACAGAGGGATGCTACATTGTGTTTCTGACTCTCCATTGTGTGTGTGTGTGTGTGTGTGTGCCCTTCCTAGGCATGTGCAGATGTGCGAGCAGGACCTGTTTTCTGGCAGCAAATGGAAATCAGAGACCAGCTGACAGGAGAGCCCACCCTCCCTGAGTGGCTGTCCACACACCCATCACACAGGAACAGATTCACTCTGCTGGACAGCCTCATACCAGAGGTACAGACGCACAGAGCCCTACACCTGTCTGTTGTGTAGGAGACAGAGTGTAACTGTAGGAGCTGTTGGAAGGAATCTTCATGTAGCTAATAAAGCATCTGGAGAGATGTAGATCCACCTGCTGACATATGGAGAGACAGTGAAAAAGATGCAGGGTTTTAGGAATGGAGGAATAAAAACATTTTCAACACAGGGGCCGGATATCTGCTTAACTGCATTTCTTGGAGGCTCTGAAAGGAAACATTAGCAGCTCAATCTTACATGCTCACTCACTGTGCACATACTGTGGTGGTCGATGGTATCTCCAGGCTATAGGGAAAATAAACATGCAGTCACTAAAAGCAACTTCACGCTGTACGTGTGTGTGTTGTCTGAGGCAGAGAGAGGTTTAACAGTGTATCAGGCAGCAATGAATTTAACCTTGACTGTGAGTTGGACTGTTGGTACACCGTCACATGCTCCAAGCACTACAGACGAACAGATGGGTAAACCACTAATTGTCCATCAGGTGCCTGTGTCGTTGAGCGTGTGCATGTTTCATGTGCTTGTGTGTGTTTGCGTGTGTTATATGTTTGTGACCATGCATCATATCATATCCCTGTGTGGTAGCTTGACCTCTGGCAGCAGTTGTTGCAGAGGCCCAGCTTTAGCCACAGGCAGCGAAGTGATGAAGAACCGTAGTTCTGGGGATTCGTTGGCCTGCATTGTGTTCCTGCGGAGAAAACTCTCTGGCTCCGCTATCCGCTGCACCCTCCTCATCCCCAATTCATTCAATCCTGCATAGTGGCACATATGAGCCACTTAACAGCTGAGCTCAGTCGGGTGAAAATGATGCATAATGTGATGTTTTTAACCTTGCGAGGGGTGACAGCATCAAGCTAGTTAACCCGACTCTTGTGAGGGCACTCTGCCTCCACTAGTGCACTCATCATCCTTCAGCAAAGCGCATTAAGTCCACTGGTAGCATGAGAGGGGGGCCTGTTGAGTGGGGAAACAAAGTGCATGTGTGTGTGCTCGGGAGTCTTGCAGGTGACACTAAGTGTGAGATTGATGAGTTGTGTGTGAGACAGACAGAGAGGATGCGCCTAATTGTTGGGGAGGTACTCATTCGTTCGTAGCAGCTCAGCTTATACAACCTTATTGGATTGACTGATTTATTTCTATTACTGACCAAATAACTGGAAAAATGAATGGCATCCTCTTCTGTCCTTTGTGCTTCACTGAAATTTGCAAATATTATCGTACTTACACACTAAACTGTGTTAACTAGCACTTTTCTTGTCTTGATGACCACTCAAAGCACAGTGCGAACACTATGCACTTTATTACACATTAAACCCAATGACTACTTCAACACATACATTATGGTCTGAGTCTGGGATCAAAACGCAGACCTTCTGGTTAGGGGACACCCAACTCTACCCATAAATAAATACAAACCAGTAGAACTGGGTTAGAATTTAGCTTGAAGCAGCGATGTGCCCTAGTACAACCTCAAAAAACAAGTAGCCGGTCTGTAAATGTCTGGTTATTCTGTCTGTGGTGTCTTCAGCTTCATGCATCTGTTTATCCCTGTACTTCAGTCACTGTTGTCTTCGTCTCTGGTCCTTCACATTCTCCTCCGTATCTGTCATCACATTGTTTTCAGTTCACAGATGCATTTTGATGATTTCTTATTCGACCACACTGTGAACAAAAACAACAAATGACCCACAACTAAAGGGTTACATACATCTTGTCTGCAGTTATATGTCAGTACATATTTACCTGTGAGTATGTCTGCTGTTTATTCATTTCTGTGATGAGATTTAAAGTTATTACAAGTTAATTAGAATAAAAAGAAAGTGTAGTTTACTATAGGAAGTTTGTCCCATCTTTATTCAAGAGTGTGTCTTTAAGTTTGAGAGTTGGACTTATTGATTTCTGATTTTGTAATGCTTTCACTTAAGATCCTGTGCTCAAACTTAAATCCTGCTTTTAATTAGATTTGCTCAAACGTTTTAGTTAGTTATATTTTCTCTGTTGCTTCAGCTCTTCCAACACTCACACTACTATCATGTGTGTATGAAATGTCTGCCCTCAGATCTCTCTTCTGCTCTGTCAAAATACAACCAACCAATAGAATGCCAGATGTGGTGTTGACAAGTGAAATTGTGTTAGCTGAGTCTGTATGTAACACGGGGAGGATAGGAGTGCATGAACCCAGTTAAAGTAACCTCTGTACTATTTCTTGACAGACTTGTTGCACATAAAAATTAATACTAAATCATAATAGAATAATGAAAAAAGCAGACATTTCACCTGTGCACAGAGGCAGCTTCTGCACGAGGAGAAGAGCTGAAGCTGGAGCGCTGTGTAAGAGCACAGTTTGAGTACAAGTAGAGAAAATCTAAGGACAAGCAGGCGCCATAGAGTGCGAGTGGAGGTTTTTGAGTCAAGAGCATTACAAACTCTGAATGTGAAATCAACAAGCCGGCTCTCCATCCCAAAGACCATGGTGTTAAAAAAAACATGGTTTTACGTATTTCTTTATACTTGCTGCAGTTGTGTTGTGAAATCATCTGTGTGACTGTTCTGCGTTGGCTCTGTGTCCAGGCTCTGGAGTTGAGGGAAAGCTGCGTCTGCCCCGCTCTACCTGATTCTGACCCTCGTGACGTCTTCTCCAAGAGCGTCCAGGTGTTGCTGAAAAACGCTAAGGATCAAGAAAGACAACCAGAAAGGGCGAACAAGACCCGCCTGCCTCACAGCCCCGCCTCACACCCCCCTGCACTGCCTGCTGCTCTGCTTCCCCAAACTGCATCTCTTCTTTCCCCAAATGTGGATCAACAGAGCAAAGGTCCAGTCCCAGTTGTAGCTTCAGAGATAGGAGCAGCCCCTGTCCCTGCTTCAGACAGACCACAGGACGGGTTGAAGATCATCAGCTGACGGGGGAAGTTAAATCCTCATAAACTAGTGGTATTTCATTCATTTCAATTTCAAGGGTTTCTGGTGAGACTCCTACTGTTCAATCTGGGTATCAGTGCAATAGAGGGTGGACCGGGGGGGTGATTATGTGAAAAGAAGAGACGGGTCATTCTAGTTTAGAAGAAAATCTTTGGAAATAAATAGACAAAAAATTAAAAATCAGTGGCTCTTCTGATCTTTCTATCTACTGCAACATGCTGCTGAGTGAACTTTCAGAGAATGTTATCCATGCCGAGTGACGACAAAGAAGCCACATTAATTAGATAACCTCGAACAGGGAAATGCTGAATTAATTAGTACAGCTTCCATACATTTCAAGATTAATATGTGCATTATTCATGGTCACACAGCAACAGACGAGAGTAAGCACTTTGTGTGTGCATGTAGGAGGGTGTGTCCATGGGAGGCAGAGGACATCTACATTCTCATTATGACTACTACTTTCTCATGCTACGCACACAGCACTTTATGCATACTCCATCCTCAGGGATTTAATGGTGTAAATTTATGCCAGGTTGTTTGCAGGTTTTAAAACACAGCCCTCTCTGCACAGGAATGCCAACATCCGCTGTCAAGCTTTGAGAAATCTTTCATGGGATTTTGTAAAATCTTATTTAACAAGGCAAGTTGACTGAGAAAACACTCTTTAATTACAGCAACAGTCTGCAGGAGCAGTCGCACAATGAAGAAGGGGAGGGCAGTTATGGTTCAAATCTTGGTAGTCCACTGTGTCTGTGTTAAAACAAAAAAGCACGCTTGGTTCAACTGAGAAATCAATAGGGCATGTCTGTGTTTTCATTTGGGATGAATTATTTTATTTGTGTCTCTCATTTTCGGTGCTGGATTTGTATCAGCTCGCAAGACATCAGTCTAAAGTCTTACAGCTGCTGTGGAAGCTTTGTTTTACTGCAAACAGGGAAGGTCTATATTAAAGTCCCTGTCTGCATTAGAGGAAGTGGCCAAGTGATTGGTTTTGTGCAAAACAGTGCAATGAAAAGCCGAGGCAATATCGTTTTTGCATATCAATATCTCAGCAGAAATGTGCTCCGTTTGAAATTGGCAAGGAAGAAAATAAATTTGTGAAGCAAGAAAAAAAGTGTAATGTTGGCTATTTTCCAATTGCGCGTTCCAGTTTCAATTCAAATGCTTGAAAGATCCACATTTATCAACGAGAAAAACCAGGATTATGGAAATACAACGTGTTGTGTAGCATGTGTGTTTCTGTCTGTGAGAGAGAGTGTATGAGGAAATTATCAAGCGTCTTTGACTTCACACAACATCATCAAAACACATCAGTCGTCACACCAACCAATTAGGACAGTGGGTGAAAGATGAGTTTTCTTCTGAAGGGTTTTGCGTGTGTGTGTTACCGGCAGAAACTCATTGATGTTGGACTTCTTAGCAAAAAATACCTGGCTTGGCCTCTGACAGCTGATCAGACAGATGTAAAGTCTTGAAATCTCATAAAAAAGATTACACCAAGCCAGTTGAAATCAAATGTAAGCTACTACAATTCCCAATAGTTGACCTCATCAAAGAGCTTTTTTTAATGTCCTTCAACTGTTATGTCTTCTAAGTTGTTGAGTAGGAGATCTTATCCCTCTTATTCCTAGGTTGTAAAAGATTTAGAGCCAAAAAACAAACCAAAACTGTGATCTCTTAAGGTGTTCCTCTTCCTCGTGACACAGTTTTGACCTGTCTCAGGTTTTTTTTTTTAGACATGCAACCTCCATTCATGTGACTGGAGACTTCCCATTTCTGAGCCACATTGTTGCGTGCACGCCGAACCATCTGGGTGCAGCTCCCTCACCACTCACAGAGAAATTGGAACTTGAGCAGGAAACAGATGACACACTCACACCCAGAGGTAATTGTAATGAGCGTGATACAATACACACACACTGCACTGCGTAATTGTAGTCTACTGCTGCAGTCTAAACAATACTGCAAACAGAGGGCTTAATCAAGGAAAACAAAGAGACAGCAGTCAGATGGACTGAAAGGACAGAAATAGAAAATAGACAGAGTGGAACCATGGGGACTGACAGGAGAAAATAAAAGATTTAATTTCAAGTGTGTGAAAGAGCATTCTTTTGGTGTGATTTACATACAAATAAAACATTTAGATTAAAAAAAAAACATTTGAGATCAAATGCTGAAAGGGGAAAGCCCTATTCTGTTTGGGTTCTCTGTTCACATAGGTAGCCTTGGGCAGATAAGATCTGTCTCATGCACTGAGGGTTAGGAATCAGATGTCTACTTAATGTCTGTAACTTCACCTCAAGTCTCTTATTGTTTTGTGTTTGTATATTCCTCCGCCCACTAGAGACAACAGACTGCTTCTGAGACCTCCAACAAACTGCTTGCAGGTATTTCAAGGTATTGACAAGCGAAGCCGCAGCGTTGAGAAGTAGACGGAGCGGTGAACGCAGCACACCCACAGCAGAGAGAGCAGAGTAGACGGTACGAGGTAGACGGCAAACTCTCGATGCTGTTTCTCCAACAAAAACACTCAGGGCAGTGAGGGAGCAAACCAACACATCTGCTGTGTAGGTGTCTGAATGATGTCCCAGAATGCAGTCTGGCTGCCCTCTGACCTCCCTGTGGAGTGTTGCTCGAAGTGGCTCGTCCACAGTTTTATTTCTTGGATCCACACATACACACGCGGCAGCTGGCTGCAGTGTGTAGAGGGAATATGGTGATGGAAATGTGTGTATATGTGTGTGGTTGTGGTAAAAGTTCCTGTGTCCTTCCGCTGTGCATTAATTATACATGTGGCATGTGGGTGTCTGATTGAAATGAATATTTTACTGCTTTTAATCACTGCCATTGCCAGAGTGATGGAGCATCTGGCCGTTACCTGGGTAATTAAAGATGCTGTCTCACACACGCACACATGCGAGTCTCGGAGGTTGAGTCTGCAGTACGAGACAGAGGTACTCCAGAGGCTTACCAATGAGTCACAATTAGATTTGAAATGTTTTAAAGCAAAAGAGCCCATAGTAAAATAAAAAAAACATGTTCACTCACTCATTTATTTTTGCTTTTATCTGACTTTGATCAGCAAAAAGCTTTTCAGATAGGCCAGGGGACAAAGGAAATGCTCTTTTAGGTGATCTGGCCTGAGTGTTGGGCAGACAGTAGATTATTTCAAAATGCTGCTGTAGTTAATGCAATCACAATATTCTTAGTGTGGAATGGAAATGTAGAATGGAAGAATTGCTCTCCAAGACTATTCGTATACAACAATTAGTAATACAAGTTTGATTCAATGAATTCCTTTCATTCTATTACTTAAGTGTATGCACTGTTTGTTATTTTGACAATACAATAAGGTTTGATTAGGTTCACTTTGGTTTGATGTAGGTCCCTTTTGCCTGGGGCCCCCAAAGTCATTTAAAATGCTTTTGGTCGTTGGATAAATGAAAATACTTTTGACACCAGGAAACAGACTCTAACATCATAATATCGATAAACCATTCATTTCCCCACCAGCCTTCAGTGCAATGAGGACAAACTCAAAGTTGTCTCTGTAAATCCCAATAAGAACTGTTTACTATTAGCATTTCTCCGTCACTGAGACTTTAGCATCTTCTCAGCATGGACAGGTTGGTGTCAGTTGCAGTGAACCTTATTAGTTGTTAAGAAATTCATTTTACCAGCAATCCAGCAGTTACTCAAATACATCCGAGTAAATTTGACCACAGCTGTCTGGGAGCAATTTTTTGCATTTCACTCTGAAGTTTCAATTTGTCACCTCCCGTGCATCTCCCCCCACTGAACATACCTGGCTGGCACCAGAGTTTATTTTTAGCAAATAGGGCAAAACTGTGGTGCTCAGGTTGTTCTTGTCTGGTGCAGTTTAGTGTGTGATCTAAGTAGGTTGATAACACAGTGCATTATACCAACACAAAAACCCAGTGGAGTGCAGCTTTAATGTGAATGAATGTGGTTGCTGATGTCTGCATCAGTCATACATTACATTCTGTACAGTGCCAGCCTGAGAGTATTAGTCTTCACTCTTTTTAACATAAAGAGGAATTAAAACAAACATAGATGGAAATTGACCTTCATGTCATACGAAGGACATCTGGCCCTTCAGAGTTTTGACACTTGTATACACTATATATGTATATATATATATATATATATTTATTTATATAATATGTGAAATGTGATCCCCTATAATACAGTACATCTACATGCAGCACTTTCTCTATCACACATCACTTACACACTACTGGCCCAGTGGTCAGGGGCAATTTGGGGTTCAGTATCTATGACAAGGACACTTCAGCATGTGGAATGGAGGAAGAGGGATCAAAATGCCAACCTTCTGGTTAGTGGACAACCCGCTCTACCTTCTGAGCCACACACTGTGGTGGTTGTGTTGAATATATGTATATATGTGTGTGTGAATGTATGTATATGTGTACATATGCGTATTGTTTTGTTATATTTCCCTAATGTTTTGAGAAAAACAGAAATTAATTAATAAAAAGTAAAAAGTGATGATCATTTATTTCGTTTGCTATGTTTTCTGCATTGCTATGTTACAATGTTTTCCTGGGAGCGGAGCTGCTGTGGTGTGAACCACAGTGAAGAACAGTCTGGCAGGGGTCATCGGGGCCATCTAGGTATTCTCTTTCAACACACAGAGCAGGTCTGCCTCTAATGGCTCCTCGTGTCCTCTCTGTTTGCCTTATCGTCTTGATCTGTGCTGGTGCGCGCGCTTGTTCTCGGTTGAACTGGTAGAGGTCTTTATAGTCTGGCTGCTCTGATGCTATTAGCGATTAGGATGTGAACACGGCCCCTCATCTGACTGCATCAATCCCAGCCCTCGCATTGGAATCACATTAATACTAACAACGTCAGATGCAAACTTTGTAGCTCTTTACCCTCCTCTCTCTCTCGCTCTTTACATCTGCTCCTCTGTCAGTGTTGATTTAAATCTGAATAACCAGCCGTCTTCCCGCTCTTTCAACAAGGAGAGGGTGCGATCTAATGAAGGGAGCGAGGGAAGGAAGATTGCTGAGGCAGAGGGGGACTGGAGGATGTGGAAATGAGATGAGATGAAATGGTTTAAATCAGTCCTCCTCAGGTGCTTTGACACCGGTAGCTTTCAGTGTTTGAGTGCATACATCAAGTTACAACTCGGGGTAAGTGTATTCAGAGAGCCAACAAGTTCTTTTTATGGGACTGTGAGTTAAACGGACAGCCTCGCAGCAGTATAGTTTGGTGAGGTAGTGTCAAACTGAGATTAAAAGCTTGTTGATGACAACAACATTAAATCTGAGTTGACACAGAAATTTAATTTGAAGAACATGTTGCGAATACAGAATACTAAATTTGCCTCGTAATACTTAGGGATAAAGATATATTGCGTTGTTATTGCTTTAAAACCTGTGCAGAGCATTTGGGTGGCAACAAAATCAGCTCAGACCTTTATTTTATCTTTATTCTTTTCTTTTTTCTCAGTGTGTTATAGTCCTCTATGATCCCTGTGAGTCCATTAACACAACATGGGAGAGAGGAGTTCAGGCTGTCATGTCGGCTACCGGAAGTAGCGGTGCTACCACTTACCCTGCGTGTACGTTTGGGTAAGAGCTTGTGTGCAGTGCGTGCTTACGAACGTGAACGCAGCTTAGAGGAGGATATCAGGGGACATTTAGGCTAAATCATAATGTAATAGAGGGCGTTAAGAGTTGATTTTCAATGTCAGGGTTTACGGACACTTGGATGACACCACAGGAACAGTATGGAGGCATTTTCTGTGTTTTTTTCTGTTTGAAGAAGTGGTTCCCAGTTCCTTCAATTTTATTGGATTTGGCTGCAGTGTTTTATGGACTCAAACACGTCACCCACCCCTTCATCGACCCAGTGGTGAGTAGATGATGGATTTTCATCTTTGGGTGAACTATTCCTTTAAGGGTTAGAGTAAGGTATTAGGGAATGTGTGTGTGTGTGTGTGTGTGTGTGTGTGTGTGTGTGTGAGAGAGAGAGAGAGAGAGAGAGAGAGAGAGAGAGAGAGAGAGAGAGAGCCCACTGCCCACGTGGTCCAGAGAAGAGCCCTCGTCAGGTGA